AGCATTAAATTATGTGAAAGACATGATAGTTAATATGGGGGGTCGTACCGATACCCCCCGAAAAGGAAGGGGGTCGTAAAAATTTGGGAATTTGCGCAACGCAGGGTTGACCCTGCTCACGGGTAAAAACGTTCAGAGCCAATTACTGCTTAAGGCCAACCCCCGGGAAAACTACTGTACAGAAGCGTTTCATTGTGATGTAAAGTTGCGAAAATGAAGTGAAAATTATAAGAAAAGCAAGTGAAGCTATCGAATAGGCTAAAGTTAGGGGCCTAAACTTCCAAAGATGGTACGACCAAGAGACAGTGCGACCAGCGAAGCACGCAGAACAGTACACCGATCTCCACATAATTCGCGGTGGGAGGGGAGGGTTGCGATGGTTGGAAGTAAGTAGCGATCAGCCCTCCAACCAGCAGCTTGTGCGGAGAAGCTGGCAAGTCTTCGGTAGGTACGGACGAGCCGCGCCACTCGTCCCTCATGTGTGCCTAATCCCGAGGCTTCAATTTAAGCAGCGACTACAAACTCAACTGGGACAGCACCCTGCTCGTTCACTTTATACGGAATTACGGCTTCATCATTAGATGCTGGCTATTTGGGTCAGCTAGACAGAATATAAGACAAAAATTTTGAGCTACGGTCGTTCAATGCAAATGATGGGAACTGCGACTTTGAAAAGAAAATCGAACGCTTCTAATCACAGCATCGCAGGCCGGAATGACTACGCCTGTGGTGGGGAGGGGGGGGGACGGTTTTCTGCGAAGACGGGTCAGATTCAAGTTTGAAGCTTTAAAGCTGCTTCTACTTCACCTTTTGAGAAACGTTCTCCCTTCCTCTTCCGCTTTGCGACCACTGGCTGGTGCGTTTACTTCCTTGGTGCAAAAACACTTCACTGCGGGTCTGTCGGAGGGACTGCGCTGTAGAGCCATATCTTATTTCTCTTGCGTAAGTGGGTTGTTACCAGTAGTCAGTTTAGAGCGAAAAAATACTTTTATTGTTGCCGGAGCCAGGTAAATTAAGCGCTTTATTTCATCATCAAAGCGCATTATTTCATTTTGCCACAGTTAGCTTATCCACATTCTCGGAAAAATGGAATTCTTACCCTTGCGCTGCTTTATGTCGAATTTCATCGATTTTATGCAAATTTCCTCATACCCGGGGCTACCACAATTGCATCAAGGTCAAATGCAAGGGTAGCCCATGCTGAATTAATTTCTTACATGAACAGGCTTAGGAGCGAAAAAACTCCGCCTATGACGCATCACCAATCTTCTTGGTGTGGACGAGTGCCAGTTGTTGGAGAAGCCTAATGAAGCGAATTATTTCCGAAGCTACCCCCGAATAAAAATTTGCCGTTTCAGCGGGCGTATACAGGGGTGGCCAAAAAAAAAGAGACACTCAGCCCATGGCGCACATCATCGAACTTTTCGTCACACAGGGAGCCGATGTTAATGAAAGTTTTATGGCGTTATATTCCTTAGTTGTTCCTCCGTAAACAGAAGCAAGCACTCCTTCACTGCCCCTGCCGTCTCCAGAATATGACGTCATCTGCCGTCACCGTCGAGCTCAACGAGGCTTACCGAAATCGCTCCGACCTGAAGCTGCTACACAATTTCCTCAGTGAATTAATTGTTGAATAGCTTCCCAGAGACATTAGCTGTGAATGTGCAAAACCGCTTTTGACCTGCGTTTCAGAGACGTCGTAATCGTCTATGGTATCTCAACGACCTCGTTGAGATCGTACCGCGCACAATGCTTCCGTGGGAAAATCTTCTGATGTCGTCGGTGTAGAAGGCTGTTGTGTAGCTTGTTGATAGATTATAACGTGCTCTTCAATATTCAGTTGGGGTCATTTGGTTTGGTTTCGCGACGCGTAAATAATTCCGTTTTGAATGTTGAGTGAAGTGTCTCTTTTTTTTGGCCACCCCTGTATATCGCCAGCTGTCAAACTCAAGGGGGCCTACCGTTGCTCTGACCTGAAACTGCTACATCCTGCCCCATTCAGCGTAAAAGCCGGTGATACCAAAGCTCAAAGTCCCTTTCCTCGTCTGAATACTGGGGCAAAGTATGGAACAATTGATAGCAATGACTTATTCAGTTTAGCAGACAGAAACTAAGGCGCGCAAAGACTCGAACAAAGTTCAGTCAAAGATCCGTGGCCAACGGTCATTCCGCTAGATAGCGCTGGAGCGAAAATTTTCTCCCCTCCACGATCTGCGCTGGTGGGTGTTTCTAGGCGCTCGAAGACATGCGATCAGTGTGATACATAACAAATAATTACTTCGCGTATGACAAAGACAGGTTGCGCAAACCAACACCTGCGATCCAGCGGATAGCCACAGAGCGTGCTCCGTGGCCTGATTCCCCTGGCGCCGCGTTCGTACTAGGCTTTTGTGTGGAATTTAATCATCCAAGTGTGACTCTTCTAATTTTAGCCCGGAAGCATCGGGTTTGATTAAAGCCAAGTGCTGCTGGTATCAAGTTGTAATTGGGATGCTGAGAAAAAGTGGCTTCAAAGACCCCCATATGGGCTCATATTAAGCGGAAGCTTACACTGGTCGCATCGCAACAACTTGTAATCTCCATCAGGACCACTGGCTGTGTTTGAGAAAAGGTGCTATGCTTCAGTGTAGCCAGATATGTTGCTCTCCTGTCCTTCGCTTTTCAGGTATAAGAGCATGTAGCAACCGGCTAGAGCGTAAATGAGCCTTCCACACCTAGGTTAATAATTCTACCCAGATTTGTTCGACACACTACCGCGTGCAGGACACGGAATGACTTGGTAAACCTGCTCACACGGTGGAGCGTTTGATTCCGCCGCTAAACAAAACTTGCTTCGTGAAATGCGTTAGCTTTTCTCGAGCTCACCGTCTGATACGCGCGGTGAAGTACGGTGCTAAAGTGGTGTCTGTAAACAACCACCATGCATTGGATGACAGGATGATTTAGCGGTCGAATAATAATGATGCTCAATGACTACGAAATATCGCAATTATCGGCCCTTATCGGCCCTTATCACTTCCTGTACCCCAACGAACATCCCGTCCCACCCTGTACATCACTTCTTGGAACCAACGCCCCACTGCTGCTGGGACGCGCGCTATGAATTTCGTGAAATTTGCGTTTCAGCGCCTCTTATCAGATCTTATCAGTCGGTATCACTTTCTAACCCCACCAAATATGTTGCCGTCCACCCCTCACCATACCTCAAAAAACAGAGCAGCACGCCGTGAATTTCGTGACAGACGGACGTACGTACACACAGGCACACACACAGACAGACATACTTAGCGAATTATATATGGTAGGATTATTCTACCGTTATCAGACGACTTCAAAATGCAACAATTGGGTAATCCCATAAAAATACAAATATTTACAAAATTTATTAGAAAGGAGTCGAAATCGAGTGATAAATAGGAATACTGTTGCGTATTCCTTCAGATATCCGCCACATCCATCGTGGTCTGACGATAGTCCCAACACGGAATAGCCCCGAGGCTGACACCACCTACACGCAGACTTCTATTGAGAACATCGCTAGGATTAAAATTGAGGTTTGATTGATAGTTCTCATCACATAATAATATAGAGTAAATCTGTTATTCAGCCACGAAAACCGATCGCACAACCACAATCATCAGATACTGTGATATTAGAGCGATTGCTTAGTAGAGGTTACGACTGGCGGGTTCGGCCGCCGGCTAAGCAAGGTGAGATATACCTTAGTATTGGAAAATTATTGAACAGAACTATAAAAACAACTCCAAAATTCCGAAATTTGTAGGTACGATTCACAGCGGTCCAGTTGTGGTGACCGTCAATATGCTTATAAGAAGGTGAGCATTTTTATATGAATTGATAGTTGAGAATTCCAAAAAAGCATCCCCCAAATGACTTTTCTATTCGACTGATGTTGGAATTAGTAATTTAATTTAATTTAACAACCATAATAACATGAATAACCATAGTGATTGCTATATTCTTCATTACCTCCAGCAAATTACGGTAGATCCATGTTTTGTTCCCAATGTTTGTTTGATCTTACCGCACGCGCGGTCCGAGGATCGAATCCTGGGTCGTGCGTTGATTGGGCTAACCAAGCCTTCCATCCCTCCGAGGTAATTGGTACCAGACTTGTCTGGGAGGATAAAAACACTGACTTGTACATCGGCTGCAAGTCATTGTATAGGCCAAATCGTCAAATGCCATTGAATGAGTGACGCATCCCAAAAACGGGTTGATCAACGGCAAACTCTTATTTTTTATCCTTTTACACGGGCTTGTTAGTTATAGTCTTTTATCGGCTGACGTTTTGGCGATATCGCCTTCTTCGGAGCTCAAAGAATGGAAATTGCTTCATTAATGAACCAGGCGGTAAAGTATAAGTCCTTTAACAGACCCTGAAGAGAATTACATTCAGGGTCTCGGTTAGAAAGCTGTCCTCATACACGGGGTTAGTTCCCACGTTATTGATAGGAATTCCTCCCTCCAATCCTTTTCTGAATTCCAGACGTGGATCCAGAGGGCTTTCAAGTTATCGTGATCCCGCAGTCGTTCTATTGTGGTTTTGGGCCCTGTGACAACTAAACCAAGGAGAGACTAGCGGCCAACTTGAGTACCTTAAGTATCTAGTGCTCCTTCAACCCGTTCTTCTGCCAATAGTTGTTTGCTGGCTTCTTCATCTACAGTGGCGTTCAAAAACTGTTCCGCCGAAAACGATCTTTTGGTTGCACTACTTTATTCATTGCTTGAGGCGACGGGTCCTCACAAAAATTGATATACTATGTACGTTTTAATCTGCCCGATTGTCTTGAAGAATCAGCCATATTCACGAATACAAGTTTTTTGAGGTCACCATTAATTTTTCCTGGCAAAAAAAGAGAACCACGAAAAACCGTTTCGGTGAACACTCTAGACCGCTACTGCATGTATTAAACTCCACATACTTGACAAAAATTTCGTAGATCGCCCTCGTGATTGTGAATGGTTTTGCTGTAGCCTGTCCAAGGTTTCACCGCTTTTATTAGGCTTAAATTTTTTGCCTCTTCGCCTTCGTCAGAACCTGAAAAGTGGGCAAGCAATTGAGACCGATGCCTTTCATTGATCGCCAGACAGTCCTGAACCACAGACAATTCTCGCAGAGCTGACCTAATCAACGAGGCGTATCCGACTGACAGGGTCTAACAAGCTAAGTCAGGTATATTTTGGGGCCGCAAGGCCGCAATAAGACACCAAGCCCTCCGTGATTCGGCATACAGTCTCCTCTGTACGCGTAGCACTAGTACTACGGAAACGCGACAGTGCACATTGCGCCATTGTAAAGAACCTAATTTAATACGCAGGCACTAACTTCAAATATTGTCAGCGAGTTGTGTGAGGAAGTGACCGGTGAATCCTACATAAAATTTGCTACTCATAGATTGAACTTTTCAAACACTTCCTTATGAACGAATAAGTTCACTGGAAGATAGAAGTGAAGAGAAAGTGATTGTTGCATGGGCTTGCCCTGGTTTGATAGATCGGCGCCGCCACTTGCTCTAGTTCCACATAGGTGAGGGAAGGTCGTAGTCATCCAGTCCATCAATTTTGTATGCCATTTTCGTAGAAATCTTCTTCCGAAGCGCTCTTAATTCAGCTATGCTTAACGCGGGCTTGCCTTGACACGTTGGACTAAGATTATGGTAAATCAAGGGAGGCGAGAAATTCCCCTGATCCCATATTTTACCTACTGACCTGACGTTATTTTCGTCAGGAAATGCTCAATAATGAAACGGCAAGTGACAACGTCCAATAGCAATTATCTGATATTCACGATGTAAATAAAAATAATGGGCAGTTATAGAAAAGGGGCGGAAGTGGTGTAGTGGCAAAGTGGCACGCTTACCACGCGAGCGGTCCGGGATCAAATCCTGGGTCGTGAGTCGCCCGGGCCAACCAAGCCTTCCATCCCTCCGGGGTCGGTTAATTGGTACCAGACTTGTCTGGGAGGATAAAAACACTGACTTGTACATCGGCTGGCCCCCGCAAGTCATTGTATAGGCCACATCGCATTCAAACGCCACTACGAATGTACAAATGGAAGTAGAATGCGTGCCGCATCCCAAAAAGGGATTGATCAACGGCAAATGCTTTATCCTTTTATTTTAGCAAAAACACCTTAGTGATAGTATAGCTGAGAAATCAACAGCAAAAATAAGAATTACAGTAACAGTAACATAAAATATGTTAATTACTGAAAAAATTATAGTACATAAATTATTCGCTTTGCAACTTCGATTTTCGCATGATCCAAGACTTTCAGTATTTCGAAGATCGATAACGTCAATATGGAATACAGCGTACAACTGACATTTCGTGAAAGTTGGTTGGACGAGCGATTGAAGTAAGACGATCAATTTTGATCAAACATATTTAGCGGCAGTGGCCTATTTCTTCCCATGTTTTTTTTTTTTCTGTCTATTTTTGCCTAGTGGAATTTTCTCTTTCTGATTTTAAAGCATTATCTCCTTCGATTTCTTTCATGTATTAAAGGGTTTTCACTGTGAAAGCATGCCTTACTGAAGGGGAATCAGTGATCATTTGCAAGTGCGACAATTTTATGGTTGTACTTCACCATTAGTTGCAAGGTGATCGATCCACTATGGAAAGCAGAATCCAACGGTTAACTTAAAGGCACCGGGTCGCGACCGTATCCTATAAACAATCCACAGTAAGGTAGCGAGGATCATCCCATCACAGGATGGTGGACTGCCGCACTTCACCAGAAATGTGTTTCACACGAAAACTTTGAAGCTAAAATACACTAGGTAACATCGATAGAGCCGCTGGTCCTAGCTTTTAAAAAAATGAGAAGCAAATCTGCTACGCGAATTTTCCATGGAAATTGTGAGCGGTTAAAGCTGGCTCTTGATGCAACGTTGATATAATGGTATTTGGTGAAAGGATGCTTGCGAGGGATACTGATGGCCCCGATTACGAAGGTGACATCGATTCTCGGTGCTGGCCGTTTTTGGAATCAATCTGAAGGCGCCAACGTAGAATGCGAAGTTTTTACATCACCACGGAAATCGAACTTGGGACCATTTCGATCGTGAAACAACTTCCTTGGCATGTTCTCGTGGCAGTTTTGGTCTTCACGTTTACGGGCTCTATCGATTCATTCCGGTCTCAATTCAAAGTTCTATAGGAAGTTTCAGCAATTTATTGGTAAGAAATGCGGCAGCAAGGCCTCCATCGGCTTCCCTCTTCGCATCCAACCTTTTACCAGACGCAGCAGACGCGCGTTGGCCCTCTTCGCGTACCGAAAAAATGACTTCCTCCATTTCCCCTCTTTCCCGCGCTGCGGCGTCTTTCCGTTTACATATTTCGACTCCGAAGGAAATTTTTGATGACCTCCATGTTTATTTTTGCTTTTTTACCCTCTAACATTCCTCTCCGCACTTCTGGTTTGATTTCCGTACAAAATCCCAGCTGGATCTTGACACGTCTCGTCGAATTGCAAATGACCAATTCTTCCTGTTCGAAACTGCGCTGGGAGGGCGCTGCAGCTTCTCCAAGATGGTCTCGACCGCTTTCACTTTCCCTCTTTTACAACTGGCGCGCCTCTCATTCGCTGTGCTCTCTTGCCTATGCTTTCTTCTCCGCGCTCTTCGCTCAAAAGGAATCTTCCACGGACCATGGACCAGTGGGCGGGACCGGAAGTTTTTGTGACGAAATGCATGGTAGGTACGGATCCACGTGTCGAACGCACGAACGTGAACAGGATTCACTTCAAACCTTCCCATGAACGTGGATCCGTACCTACCATGCATTTCGTCGCAAAACCACTTCCGGTCCCGCCCACTGGTCCATGGTCCGTGGAAGATTCCTTTAAGCTTTACCTTAACCAAAAAATAAGCGAAGCGTTCAATTTAACGATATTTTTAAATTCCTTTTTCCTCTTTTTTATCTAAACCGCTCCACACGCATCCCTGCATTCCATTTTATGCTCGTGCCTTTAGGGTGGCGCAACGCCTGTTGTCTTTGATTCGACTGAAAGTGAAATTTCGCAGAACATTATTGTGAAATTCTTCGCACCCCATTTACTTTCTTGTGCTTCGAAAAATACAGTGCTGTGCAACTAAGGGCAAAGCTTCTCTCTTGGAGAATGTATCATGCCCCCTAACCTAATTTCGGCGAGCTGTGTGCTCAAACACCCTCCTTACTGGAATCATTTGTTGTTTGTCCCCCTAAATTCGTGAATGGTGGATTGAACTGGTGTTTTAACCCCAGTATTTCCTCCTTTTGCCCATGGCAAGCTCCCATTGAGCTTGCTGACTTTATCCATGAAAGGGTTGGCGATCTTTCGTTGTGTGCTTCTCCCACCAATTAATCAACTTCGGAACGGACACTGAAGTTATCGCGATTCCTATCTAAGATGGCACCAAGCACGGAAAGTAAAAATTGCTCTCAATCAGCAAAGTTGCCATTAGGCCAACCCCGGCGAAATGGGTAGTGGTAGCGCATTTGGTATGCGGTTCTTGCTTGTCAAGGCAAGGGTTACGGTCGTTCGCTCCGCGTTCTAGATGGGCTTTTTTTGTCAACATAGCTGAAAAGTCTTTTGAATCCGTTATATTATGAAATGGTTGCCCGATGCTACACTTACAAAGAAGTTTGCAAGCAAATTCTCTTAGGCTCGAGCGCTACTTGTCTGTTAGTGCACATGGTGCCCGTAGTGCAGGTACCAGGTTCGAGTGCAGGTGCTATGCTTTTCCGTGGCAAGTAGGTACGATATTCGTATTCAGGGGATCAAACTACCCCTAAAACGAGTTTCTCGCCAAACCTGAGGTCATGAACTAATTGAGAAAAAGCGGAGCAGTGATGGGATTACCACTCCTCAAACTCCACTTTTTTGGGTTGACCAATCATGGACGACGGGGAAAGGGGAGAGAAGGGGTTGTATTAGGAATAATGCTTTGCAGATCTTTGGATGATGCAGACGGGCAAGCCAGACACAATTTTTGTCTATTATGAAAAGTGTTTGAAAGGTTTATTCTACCCAAGTGCCAGCCTTTTGTAATGGATTGGTGGATCGGTGAGTAAGTGACTGCCCAAATTTTCGAGGTTAGGTCAAAATTTCAGAATTCGCTAGAAGTTTGCTCAAAGGGAGAGTCTGGCTCCCTGATTACGAATATCATACTTGTTCGAAGCAAAAATGCCTGGCGCCTGCGCTACAAGCGCCCAAAGTAGTGAGGAGCGATGCCGCCCAAGTTCGTTATTAATTGCCCTTAAAGGAATCTTCCGCGGAAAAAGCTCCGCCTCCATTACCACAGAAAAACGATACCCCTTAGGCCCCTAGCCTCATGAGCATAGCAAAAAGAACGGAACATAAGCGTTAGTTTCGATAATACTAATCCTACACACAAGACAAAATGATCACTCTTTCCGTGGAAGATTCCTTTAAGGTATCGTTTTCTGTGGTAATGAGGGCGGAGCTTTTTCCGTGGAAGATTCCTTTAACGAAGAAGTTCGACCTCGTAGTATGTCTTGGTAGTAATTCGGTAGTACTTAGGTATAGTGACGCTATCGACCACTGGAACGAAGAATGTCGTGTATCCGAAAAAAATCAGGTACACGCAAAGATCGAACCATCTTCAACAAGCTTTGCTGATTTCAGAGGACTGGAGCTTTCATAGAAAAACGGTGGTTCCAGGAGACGCGCCACATCGGTGCTACCGACGTTAATCATTGTGGATGAAGTTCTTTTCCACTCCAGCACATTACACTAATTTTCCGCACATATTCTGTCCACTGTGGAATAGTTCGTTTACTTAGAACCAGTGATGTTTTGA